CAAATCATATAAATCATACAAATCATATAAATCATACAAATCATATAAATCATATAAATCATACAAATCATATAAATCATACAAATCATATAAATCATACAAATCATATAAATCATACAAATCATATAAATCATATAAATCATACAAATCATACAAATCATATAAATCATACAAATCATATAAATCATACAAATCAAATAAATCATACAAATCATATAAATCATATAAATCATATAAATCATACAAATCATACAAATCATATAAATCATACAAATCAAATAAATCATACTAATCATATAAATCATACAAATCATATAAATCATACAAATCATATAAATCATATAAATTAAACAAATCATATAAATCATGCAAATCATATAAATCATACAAATCATATAAATCATACAAATCATATAAATCATATAAATTATATAAATTATACAAATCATATAAATCATACAAATCATAAAAATCATACAAATCATATAAATCATACAAATCATATAAATCATATAAATCATACAAATCATATAAATCATATAAATCATACAAATCATATAAATCATACAAATCAAATAAATCATACAAATCATATAAATCATATAAATCATATAAATCATACAAATCATACAAATCATATAAATCAAATAAATAATATAAATCATATAAATCATACAAATCATATAAATCATATATATCATATAAATCATATAAATTATACAAATCATATAAATCATACAAATCATATAAATCAAATAAACAATATAAATCATACAAATCATACAAATCATATAAATCATATAAATCATACAAATCATACAAATCATATAAATCAAATAAATCATATAAATCATACAAATCATATAAATCATATAAATCATGCAAATCATATAAATCACATAAATCATACAAATCATATAAATCATACAAATCATACAAATCAAATAAATCATACAAATCATATAAATCAATCATATAAATCATACAAATCATATAAATCATACAAATCATA